CAATTACGCAATGGTGTACAGGTATGGACGCTAAAATATTTAGATGTTGTTAAAACTTACGTAGGTTTTTTTCTACTTCAGTTTGTAACCTAAAAAAAATACAGCTATTTAACAAACAAACAATTTGCGCAATAAAATGTTTTACTGAACGTTAAAAAGTAAGATTTCGAGCACAATTATTTCGTGTAAAATTAAAGGACCGAGCAAAAGATGCGGGGAAGATTTCAAACAAATACGAGAAAAGGTCAGGGGTTTTCAATGTCAATCCACAGACGATTGAAATTCTGTAAATGGAAGACGCTGTTCATTTCAGATTTCCATTAGTGCTGTCGGCAGCAGCGATACATTATTTATGTAAGGTGCGTAACAAAGCTGTACAGTTGGAACAGCAAATGACAATACGGTTCTTCAGCGATGGAGAGAAGCGTGTGTTGTGAAATGGAGAAAGCTGAAAACTGAAGGGGAAAATAATTGGATGAAGACGGCAGGCAGGCAGCACGGTGAAATGGAAGACAACCGCGCATCAATATGCAAATGAGCGCTCACTGGAGGCAGCTACCCTGCGCTAATTTAAGGAGACAGGGTGAAGCGCCAAAGGATTTCTTCTGAATTTTCCACATGCCGGGTGTGGTCAGCAGAGATTATTTATAATTATCAAAGGTTGGCTTCGGCGCAAGACCGCTTGCATTACAGTCAAAATGCATTGGCAAGGTCTGCAGAAGGAAAATTGTAAAAGTCCACAGCAAATACGTACAAGTTTTCCCAAAATGAGATTGCAGATTCAGTGGCGGTGAGAGAATGGACATTTATCGATGAAACTCTCTTTTTCGTCTTGTTTTAATTTGAATGAACATTTAAAAACGAGTTAATTAAATACCACCTACAATCCTCTTCCAGCGTTGAAATTTTAATTCTTGCCATTCTTAGGTAGTCCTTAATACATTTATACACTGAATAAGGAAATTAAGGTATATAAATAAGTGTTGGGAATGACATTGCCTTTAATTGTCCTTGCCAGTATTTCCTGTTAGGTCTACCTCAAGTGACCGGCCGTGCTTTGAGTTTCACCACCAGATGTCAACCCACTATTTATCTCCATCGAGAAGGCACCTTCCACTTTGCAACGGTAAGTCATGATGCGTCGTCACATTTTTACTCCACCAGTCCATTTGCACTTTATAACAAATGTAATCATCATCCGTAAGCAAACCACTGCAGGATGAATATTTCACCAAGACGCTGCCATCGCTTACAATCCTGTGATGTGAAAAACCCACCTGAACTCGGCTGGATTATACAATCCACCTCGCACCTAGAACCAATGCAGACTAAGAGAAGACGAGAATATGAACTGTTCTCCTTCCTTCCCCTGAGCCTAACCCTAAGAGCTTGATTTATATTCATCTGGTGTTGGTATTAATATTCAATCACTTTCCTCAGGTCCCGTGAAATATTATTAAATAAAAATGCTCCAGTACTTATTTCATCGGGTATGAAAATCCATAAATTGACACAAACCATTCAGCAGCTAACATTGAAACTTTTCTTTAGCATTACGCATATTAATTAAGGTCTCCACAGAATTTATTAACGTATTACTAATGCAGAATTAAAATGCACTGATTACTACTGCTTAATGTCCATTAAATTCCTCAAAACCAGTACATGTGTAGAACATTTCTATCTCAGTAAATGGCATGCAACCCCTTTCTAAAATGACTGGGACAATAACTTTGAACTCTACGTAACATTTCATTACCTCCAACATTTGCGGTCTGAGCCCAATAATTCAAAGGGTGAATGTTGGGCTTTTTATAATAATAATATAAATTAAATATAAAAAGGGAAAATAATGTACAGCTGTGTAAATAACACTGCTGGATGGTCTCCTGAAAGCCATTCAGTCATGGGGGCTGTTTGACCGTATTTCACCACTTTGGTCGGTACAGGTTGGTGACGCCCTCCAGCACGGCTACATGTATCACTCACCACTGAGGTTAGCCATTGCCATGTATTGGCGCTCAGGATTCCAGATTCATGGTACACTAACCACTGTGCCACCACTCCATATGACAAATAGAATGGTACAGATGCATGGCGCCTGAAATTTATTTTACTTAACACAGCTCAATTAAAGTGCCATGAGGTGTAAGTCGTGACTTGAAATAAGGCATTAATATTCAATGTGTCAACTTACTATTTAATCGTAAGAGGTTTCTAAATGTTAGCCAACGTTATGAATAACATGGGATGCAGTTAATATGTAATGTAGTGAAATGCTGTGTAATAAAATCGCATAATTTTGCAAAGCCGGTGTAAAAAAAGGCATGTGGGCACACAACAGCTACTTTCAAAGCCAAGGCTTCGGGATAGTGCTGTTTATACTGTTGCCTTACAACGCGAGTTATCCATTCAGCTGCTAAATATACTCCAATCATTGGCATCGTTTACTAAATCAAGGGACTATGCAGTATTCACGGTTCAGGTTTGCTGCTGCCAGTAATTATACATCCATCACGATGGGCCTCTTGTGAGATATAAATTAGGTCATGAATTCCTTTTAATTATTATATTTCCTTGTACACTTTCCCAGTAGGGCATCCCAATGTGCCCTTGCTAACATAACCCCTGGGCAAATATATAAATGGTGGATTCTACGCATAAATGTTGGCCGATAGCACTTTTCTTGTGAGGCTATGTAACACCAGGGGAAATTTTGTTAGCCGCATGCATAATGTACTATTTGGCACATTCAAATTAAAACACTGTTATTTAATTTGCTCGTGTCACATGCAGGTATGTGAGATCTGCAAAGACCTCTCCCCAAAGATTATCTGCCTGTATCACTAATGCTTGCTCTAATAAGCAAGCATGGCCATAAGTAATGCATCACCATAGGGCAGAATTGCATCCAAATCTGGCTCCAAGAATGCATCAGTATGAATAAATTCATACCAACAGCCTGTTCAATTGCAGGTAAAATGCTCCACAGGCCCATACATGTATAGCGAGGGAAAAAAGTATTTGATCCCCTGCTGATTTTGTACGTTTGCCCACTGACAAAGAAATGATCAGTCTATAATTTTAATGGTAGGTTTATTTGAACAGTGAGAGACAGAATAACAACAGAAAAACGCATGTCAAAAATGTTATAAATTGATTTACATTTTAATGAGGGAAATAAGTATTTGACCCCTCTGCAAAACATGACTTAGTACTTGGTGGCTAAACCCTTGTTGGCAATCAAAGAGGTCAGACGTTTCTTTTAGTTGGCCACCAGGTTTGCACACATCTCAGGAAGGATTTTGTCCCAATCCTCTTTGCAGATCTTCTCCAAGTCATTAAGGTTTCGAGCCTGACGTTTGGCAACTCGAAACTTCAACTCCCCCCACAGATTTTCTATGGGATTAAGGTCTGGGTGACTGGCTAGGCCACTCCAGGACCTTAATGTGCTTCTTCTTGAGCCACTCCTTTGTTGCCTTGGCCGTGTGTTTTGGGTCATTGGCATGCTGGAATACCCTTCCACGACCCATTTTCAATGCCCTGGCTGAGGGAAGGAGGTTCTCACCCAAGATTTGACGGTACATGGCCCCATCCATCGTCCCTTTGATGCGGTGAAGTTGTCCTGTCCCCTTAGCAGAAAAACACCCCCAAAGCATAATGTTTCCACCTCCATGTTTGACGGTGGGGATGGTGTTCTTGGGGTCATAGGCAGCATTCATCCTCCTCCTCCTCCAAACACGGCGAGTTGAGTTGATGCCAAAGAGCTCCATTTTGGTCTCATCTGACCACAACACTTTCACCCAGTTGTCCTCTGAATCATTCAGATGGTCATTGGCAAACTTCAGACGGGCATGCATATGTGCTTTCTTGAGCAGGGGGACCTTGCGGGCGCTGCAGGATTTCAGTCCTTCACGGCGTAGTGTGTTAGCAATTGTTTTCTTGGTGACTATGGTCCCAGCTGCCTTGAGATCATTGACAATATCCTCCCGTGTAGTTCTGGGCTGATTCCTCACCGTTCTCATGATAATTGCAACTCCACGAGGTGAGATCTTGCATTGAGCCCCAGGCTGAGGGAGACTGACAGTTCTTTTGTGTTTCTTCCATTTGCGAATAATCGCACCAACTGTTGTCACCTTTTCACCAAGCAGCTTGGCAATGGTCTTGTAGCCCATTCCAGCCTTGTGTAGGTCTACAATCTTGTCCCTGACATCCTTGGAGAGCTCTTTGGTCTTGGCCATGGTGGAGAGTTTGGAAGCTGATTTATTGATTGCTTCTGTGGACAGGTGTCTTTTATACAGGTAACAATCTGAGATTAGGAGCACTCCCTTGAAGAGTGTGCTCCTAACCTCAGCTCGTTACCTGTATAAAAGACACCTGGGAGCCAGAAATCTTTCTGATTGAGAGGGGGTAAAATGCTTATTTCCCTCATTAAAATGCAAATCAATTTATAACATTTTTGACATGCGTTTTTCTGGATTTTGTTGTTGTTATTCTGTCTGTCACTGTTCAAATAAACCTACCATTAAAATTATAGACTGATCATTTCTTTGTCAGTGGGCAAACGTACACAAGCAGCAGGGGATCAAATACTTTTTTCCCTCACTGTATGTAGTGGCAGACTTATCATAAATCAAAAATAATAATTGCTCCCAGGCATGCCAAAATTAATATACAATTATCCAAGCAACTTTTGGGTGGCATTGTTAACAAACAACTAGCTACAACTTAATAATGAAAACAGGGCACTTTAAATGCAAAAAGCGACTGGCATCAGATCTCACAAAAACATTTGAAAGGGTACCCTCCACAATGCCAGCTGTCCCTGCGTAGCACTCGGTGACTCAACACCTGACCTGCACGCAGGCATTAGTCTGCCATTAGGGGGGTGATGATTGCTATGCATAATCCCAACTGAGTGATTTTTTTTGTAACTTTTGCAATGTTGGATTTACCACAATGTTGTTTCCCTGGGTGTGTGAACAGACCCATGGGCTCACCTGCAGATGTCCTGGTTGGAAGGGCTGACGGATGCGCGAGAGGCACTGCGTGGGACAGTCAGCGACGTGGGGCTGCTCGCCTGTCAAATCAAAGCATTTACGCAAAAAAGAATTAGAGGCAACCTGCAGCGGCCATTTCCTTTGGATTCCCCAGGGGTAAATTTCATTTTCACCACACTCAAGCATTTTCCTTCATTATTTTGCATGCGGGTTTGTTTCCACATAGCTGTTGTCACGCTGGGTTAGAAATGGATATATTTTGGTGGCAAGCAGTCCGAATGTGCATTTGGGATTAGGGAAAGATGTACTCTTAAATCCTGTGATGAATGCATCTCAGCGATTATGCCATTTTAGACAAACTTTATAAATGGTATTTCATCTGTTTGCATGGCATCAGCCCCAATTCGCGTTGGCACAACCCTGGCTACTGATGCACTACGGAATATTTTGCCTTGCTGAATGCATGGAAGCTATTCCTCGCAAAACAAAATGGGCCAAAAACCACAACATCAATTGGGCGGAATCACTTTTGCAGGATTTCCTTCATTATCAATGAATGCACAAGTGTTTAAACAAACTCTGCGCAAATCAGGCCCACACACACACTACATGTTATAGGTTTCTTGTGACAAGTTGAAAAAGAACTGGTAAGATTACAGCTGTCTGAAAGATATTGAAAGCCTTATCTTGAGTTAAGACTGAATAGAGTGAAAGATTGTAAAAACGAATAAGCAACAAATATAATACAAGGGTAAGCATTATAACTCTGCCATGTGCTTTTGGGTTATGGCACGTGTTATTCGGCACGATGTCTGAGCTTTTGCTCCATGCGCCGGGAGCTTCTTGAAATCAGTTCCTGATGGTTTTTACTGCCGAAATCAGCTCCTGAAGATGATCCCAGCACACAGAGCGAAACGTCAGACATCATGCAGAACGACGCATGGCACAACCAGAAAACGCATCGGAGAGCTGCAAGAACACAACTGTGAAAAAACGCCTACAAGGTTCGTAACGGAGAGCATCGTTTTCCTCTATGCAAGTTTGATGATACCAAAACGAAAGTGCAGGTTTTCCCAGCAAATCAAAATTAAGAATGCATTCAATATTATTTCAACATATAAAAAGCAGCGTGACCTCAAACGCTCACACGAGGATTATTGCACGTCTCCCTCTCTTGGGTTCCGACATTTATTTTTAAGCGATAAAAAAAAGTGTGACTGTCAACACAACAGCGAGTGCTCGACATAGGCCAGGCTTGCGCACGGCAGTGGCGCGCATGCTGGTGTGCCGATGTGCATTTTTATTCTACTTTCATATCCTTGTTTAAAAAAAAGAAGACAATTAAATGCTGCACCTACTGTGCAATTGCCAGTTGCGAGGTGCAGGGCAGCCATGTGGCACCTCGTGCAGAAATGTGACCTCCCTGAAAGATATGCACTGTGCTTCGTATTTTTAGAATGACATTCATGTGCGTGCCTGCTAAGTGTCCCCTTATTTATTTATCTATAAGAGCCATACTGGGAATGCGACTATCCCTAAATGAAAGCATTCATTATTTATTTAGTTTGCCTATATTTCCACGATCACTGGAAGCTGCAAAATGGCAGGCTTGAAATGCATGGAAAAGGGCCCAAATTTCTCATTCCAAAAATGGTTAAAATTACTTTGTTAGTTCTGTATATGCATATGTGCGAGTACACGCATGCATGAATGATATGTATATAAAATAAATACAATATTGCAAGTAAATTACAACTTCTCGCTTGTGTTAGTGACTCACTGCATGAGTTTTGCGCCCATTATATGATACTTATTGTTATTATTACTTGCGCTAAAACGAAGGCGAGTGATATCTGCAAATGACATGCAGCCAATATACACAGGAAAGCATTTGTTTAAATTGGTGATGGGAACTTTCCCAAAATGGCATCGTGTACAATGCACCAACTATTCCCTCCAAAACAATGTTTAAATGTTTACATTTTGCTCAGTGGAAGTCCATTACGCGATGACTAAAAACGGAAATCGGCTTGCTTACGTGGCAATTTGAACACAGTGAACACTGCCAATGTCTGCTCAAGTGGTTCACAGCTCACATGCTGTGCATAGTGCAAGACAAGCACTGATAAATAGCCATACGGTAGGGGCACAGAAGGTAACCATATACGTATTATACACTATATAGCAGCCTGATACGTAGAAAATACCAGCCTGGTGGTGCAGTGGTGGTACAGCGTGTGGGTTAAAATTAAAAAGTTGAGAGTTCAGATCCTGGTTGGGGCCAACTCGGTCATTCAGCTCTTTCAGGGTCAACAAAGTGAGTGCCAAGTTGTGGGTTGTGGAGAATAAAGAATTTCCACCACTGGCCAAGGGCTGTAAACAGGAGTTGAGTTGAGCACCAGTTGAGCACTGCTCCATTCTCAATTGAGCGGGAAACCACTTTAGCTCTTGATTTTCGCATAGAAAATGCATTAAAAAAAACTGTCCCACAGAGGAACATCTCTCTGCCTCTTCATAGCCACACCTCAGCGATGTTAAGTTACTTTCACTATGTTTGTCTTTTTATCCCTCCTTGTCCATATGTCTTGAAAAGAGGCAGGTCCATTGCCAAGCACAAAATTAAAGGGAGTTCCCTGGGGACTTCTAAACGTTTCTAGAATCAGTAAAAATCCAATGTAACGATTCAAAACTTTAATCAATGCATCGAAAATGCACAGGGGTATGCAGTGTTATGCAGTCACCTACGATCTAACCAAAATTAAATATTCTATCTTGGCTATTCATCAGGAATTAAAATGTGTTTACATCCGCTGTGGTTTTCAAACTTGTATTAATGTGAATTCCAATGTAAATAATGATCCATTTTGCCAAGCTCTGGTAAACAGTTATGCAAATGCCCCTTTTAAGAGGCCACTTTCAAATGAATGTCATCCACCTGTGCAGCTTCAAAAAATCCTGCCGTGGCGAGCAAAAGGGGCGATAAAATTACTGTGCAGCGCACACATAATGCTGCAAATGCCACCTCAGTCCCAACGTAAGCACCCCAATGTGCTATATTCTGTTAGCCGATAAACGTAGAACCTTTTTTTCTAGGCGCTAATCATCTAATATTCTGCTCGTGTAACATTTTTAGCGTCAGTTTTCAAAAGGGGCATGCGGATTTACATCCACATGAGACAGGTCAGCATGACATTAATGGAGTTGTGTGTGACTGTGCGCCTGTGTTATGTTGCGGGGAGCGATAGTGTAGCGGTTAGCGCGCTGCGCTATGAACCTGGCGACCCGGGTTCGATTCCCGCTCACGGCCACCACCAGTGAAGATTATCTGAAACGGTCCCGGGCCTCCCCTAGGCGACTCAGCCTCAAATGAGTACCTGGTGCGGTGTGTAAACATGGCCACCCACCCCCTCGTGTACCGTTCCGGCCTTCATAGGTGCTCGCTAACAGCACTTGCCTCTACAGTCTGTTAAGGCTATATGGGGGATCTTTATCTTTGTGTTATGTTGGGAAGCGGTAATGTCGCTGTTAGCGCGCTGCGCCATGAACCTGACCACCCGAGTTTGATTCCCGCTCATGGCCAACACCAGTGACGATTATCTGAACCGGTACTGGGCCTCCCCTAGGTTGACTCAGTCTCAAATGGAGTAGTACCTGGTGCGGTGTGTAGTAAACATCGCCATTGGGGAGACAAAGGCGGTCGAGCGTGGTGCTGGCCACCCACCCCCTCGCGTGCCGTGTTGGCCTTCACAGGTGCTCGCTAACAGTGCTTGCCCCAACAGTCTGTGAAGGCTATATGGGGGATCTTTGTCTTTTGTGCGAGGTTTAGTAAGAAGTAAAGAGCCCAGTGCCACCTGCGCATAGGCACGTTTTTTTGCCAAAGTATTATTAACAATGCCAGCTGCCGAAATATTTTGTTTACACTTGTTAGAACTCCTGCCAACATCATAGAACACCTCCTGTCTGGTAACATCATCGGACTAGATCATCAAAAGATATAGCATGTTGACTCACTCCAGTGTATTTCTTTCATTTGCAACCTGTAGGGAGCGTACATACATATACTGCAGTAGTGGAGGCAAATACATCAAGTCATTCTCTAGCGCTGCTGCAGGTTCTGTACCCTCCAATAAGACTACGGTGAAATCACACATTACAGCTGTCAGATAATCTGTGGCCAGGCTTAGACTATTACACTTGTTGTAGAGTGGAACCTTTTTCACTTCAAATGTTTACCTAGAAATTGAAAGAAATAGTTTATTTTCGCACTGGCGCTGCTTTTTCTGGTGATCTTATCCAGTCAAACTGGATTTCAAGTCTGGCACAGCTTCAGAGGGCCGATGTTGGTATGACGTCCTATCACGGCACCACTTATTTGAGGCCACTACATCCTAATTAACGCCAGTACAAAGTTCTAATGACGCTTGGCAGAAGCAGCCTCTCTCAGCACCAGCTACTGCGAAGGCCATATCATCTCCCACGGTGAGAGCACGGTGGTAGTGGGGGGGCAGGCATTGAAGCTGTTGCGAGCAGTTCTCTCAAACTTGTTTGTCAGTGCCACTCGGTTCCTGATTTTGATGTGAGACTGAAATAACATTACCTCTCCCCCCCACCCCCCCCAGCGACAAATTATTTGGGGCCACTGCACTAGCAGCGGTGTACAAGTGGTGTACAAGCACAAATAACAAACAAAAATCAATACATCCGTCAATAACACTGCCTTAAAAGGGAGAAAAAAATATGGCACATAGATGATGTGCTGCTATGAAGAAGGGTCGTTTGTCAAAATTTGACCTATTAGATGTTTCTACCGCTGACATGTGGTTTTGCCTAGTTTAACAAACGTGTTACCAACAGTCTCATAAGCATGCAACGCACTCTTCAAGTCAGCCTCAGACTGGACTCACACAAGACGGCTTAACAAACAATAGAACATTGAATGGTCATTGTGGCCTCAATTAACAGACTTCTCGGCAGACTAATGTGAATCCACCGGAATATTGTCTCATGAGTTCACGTCTTCTTTGGTTCTTTCGGCAAAGTCACGTAGAATGAGAATAAAATAATAAATTGATAAAATAAAATAACACAATAATATTCTCACGACGTTTCGGCCACAACACAAGCGGCCTTCATCAGGTGAAAGGACGAGACTGTCTGTCCTCCAACACAGGCGCACAGTCACACACGGTAAATATTTCCTTCAAAACGTATGACAGAGGAAAACAACTGTGTATGCCATTACATGCTCAGTGGTAGACTGCATTCAAACTCAGAGCTTTACACTACCTACTTGCAGCTGTAATTTAATAATAACCATGCCAGCAAATGCCTGAAATTGTAAGATTACCAGATATGTGCTCAACAGTATTGTCTTAGTGTGCCATTTATCTTGCAAGAGAACTTGGTATCCTACTGCAGGTAGTTCTAGATGATAATTTAACTTATTTTCTATGTTGAACAAGAAAAATTGGCTTACCTGCCCACATTAATCTGTCATTGGCGTTACGTTTAATTTGTTTAAGAGAAGTTTTGCCCAATAGTTGAGTTAATGTTATGTTTAATCACTCTGTGGCACCTTTTTGGTATATATCTGCCAGCAAAGGCACCATTATATCAAGTGTAAAAAAAAACAAATGCCGCAAAAATTATTTTAGAAAGTATAAAATGGGATTGTAACCAAAGGTGCATGTGTATGTACAGCTTCTTTGCCAATCCACTGCTGAATGAGGACCTCCCCATGCCATGTGAGTCATGTTGGATCATAACTTCACCATGCTGGTCAGTGTGGGTTAATAACGAGGGTGGGGAACCAGAACCAAATCAGATAGCACTCACCACTGATGTTAGCCATGGCCGGGAATCAAACTCTGGTTACTGTGTTCATAGCGGAGCGCGCGGACCATTGCGTCACCTCTCCTTCCCAATCAAATGATGTATGGTCATTCAAATTAAATCACCATGCCCAAAAGAATGTGAACTTTGTCTTTATTGGTGACAAGAAAATCTGGTCTGTAGGAATGGGCAGCACTGATGTTTGTTCCTGGGATATTTTTAGCAGCCATGGGCTCAATCAGCTTAAGAGGGATACATTTGTGGGTTCCTTTTTGAGATGTGCCTAGAATTCATTCTCACGGCTCTCTTCAGTCTTTGTTATTGCACTGGACAGGAAATTAGGATTTAAAAGGCTCTTTTGGGGCTGCTTTGATGTTGTGACATTAAGAAAAGAGGCATTTTTCTGACGTCACAGCTATGGAAATTCAAAACTAAAATCTGGGTCACCCGCTTAAGACGTAAAAATGAGCATTGCTTAATCTGGGTATTATACAAGCTTGGCACGAAGGTGGAATGTTCTTGAAAATGAGACATTTACTTTGCAGTGCCAACTTGCACAACGACCAAAAACTTGTTGTAATGAAAAGGGTTCAATATAATTGACTCCCAGAATAGCATTGCTGCATGTCAGCAACTATGATCCATGATGCTTGTTTGGGTTGTGACAAGTGAATGGGTTTTGATGAGGGATACTATTTTATTACGTCTTTCCCAGTGCAAGGGAATTTGTTTACAAGGCAAACATGTGTTAATTATATTAAATAAATACAATTTGATATATCCTCACATGAATATAGAATATACTTGAGTTTGTATGTTTAAATGAATGCTGATGGCTAACATAAGGCAGGAAGGTCAAGAGACAACATCCATTATATTTTTTTACATGGAGATATGGAATGACGTGATTTATCACCCAGATTGCTTCCCCTTCATGAAAATATGAGTATTTTTACAAGTACAGTACATTTCTGATAGCCTATGGTAAAGAGAGGGCACTTACCGATAACATCCAGTAAATCGGCAGTACTTTTTAAATTTTCCTGACTGTTGAGAAGGATAAAACCAGTCTAACATTTGCATGTTGAAAGTACGTATGGGAAGATCGATGGGGCAAAAAATAAAATATATTATTTGCAAGTTTTGTTTGAATTGTGAGCTCTTGATTCAATTGACCACCAATCATCGTATACTTTTTGACGTTAATTGCGCGGTCCCTTTAATAAATGGTGGTCGCCTCCAAACATCCTACACCTCCCGAATGCAGGAAACCCCCCTACGAGCCACTCCAAGCGGGACACGGCCGATGATGCCGATTACGGCAACAAGGGCCACCTTCTATCACGTTCCATCCAGTGGGGGAAACAGGTTTTTGTTGTTGCTCTATTTGCACGTTATCGGATTAGTCACTAATCAAAACCAATAGTCAGTAAAATAATCAATTCATAAAATCACTGAATGGCCAAAGCTCTGTAGATTACAAATATTTTGAAAGTTTTCTTTTGTACTTAAGATGTTGCTCGTATCACGTATTTACTTGCCATGCTCAGTGTAGGTTTTATACACGCAGGGCTTCACATCCCCGCTTGTCCATGGTTGGCTACTAAATCACCTTTGACCCCCATATTATTTGCAGATAAGATTTCGTTTTGAAGAGCAGATCCCCACCTCAGGTCACGTGCTCCCGATGTGGATTGTTTATTCCATGGCTAGAGCTATCTCTGCGATCGCCTGCACACAAATTATCTAACGGTTGTCAGGGTCCGTGACTGACCCCACCGCTCCCCACCTAAGCCCATCCCTTATTATCCCTCCCAGAAACCCCCTACTAACCCAGATGTATTGCCTTAGGTACATTTAATACAGTTTAACTCTGTATGCTACACGTGATACACATTATACCATGTTCTAATGCATTTTAATAAGCATATACTATATATAATATTCCAAGGTACAGTATATATTATGCACATAATTATATTATTTTGCCATTTTTTTAATCATTAAGATTAGCAGATCTTTTTTTTTACTTAGGCACCTTGATCCGGTTAACTGCAGAATCTGGCTAGCCAGAGCCTAGCGAGCTGGGGTTTTATTGTAGAAACAAATTAAACATTTAGGCTGAGACAGGCAATATAAACTAGACAGTACAAATGAGACAAAAATAATCACGTCTTGAATCGTATTGGGACCCCATATCATGCTACTCAATAAACTTGGGGGGGTTTCCTTTTAACAAACAGGACATGGAAGACCAGGTCAACAACAAGACTGAAGCATGCAACTTTGACATCTGCACAGAAGCCGTTTCGTCGCTATGTATAACCAAGGCATTTGTTGCCACCTGCGCCTTCATGCCTTTGGGAAGGCCGTGACCCTACCTTGGAGATGTTACTCGAACGGCTCGTGGAGCGGCCGGGAGATTTCTCGCCCTGCCAACATAAAGACACGAGGCATCAATACATATACAGCACACACCACACACACACACATCAGCTGTGGAGAGGACACAGGAGAACTGTAACACAGACATGATAGCCACGCACAAGTGTTCATCCCGTTCATCTGGCTGCGGACCCAGATTTTCGCCCATGAAGTAAAAAAAATATGAACCTAATTTATTTTATTTTACAACCAGCAGAGGGGGGAAAATTCGTGACACTATTGGCAGAGGTGCAAAAGCACAAATAAAAAAAACACTGCCATAAACGAGTAAAACATGGCAGTTGCGACATTTCTGGAAATAACCATTATTTATAAACAAAATGTGATATTTGCACCAGCGTTCTGGGCTATCACAAAGGCGCTATGTTTCACAGGCACGGTCTGTGGTAGCTTCACGGGAAGGGGGCTTTGATTGCTATGTTCGAACCGTGCCGAAGCGAGCAGGGGCGCTGTGTGCGGGCGTCATTGTCCACATTTGCCAAATGACTCTCGCTCAAATTGGGATTGCACATAGTGGTCACTGCCCATTTTTTATTAGCAGTGTTCCCCTCAGCAGGCAAAGAAGAGCCACTTCTTGAAATGTGTCAGTCATGTATAACTTTTAATCAGGCAGTGTTATTTAGCAATATTTAACTTTATTTTGTTATTAAAACACGTAGGCCTTTCACGACCAATATCATCCACAATACAGTTTTATGGGGTAAAATCGCGTAAATATATAAATGTGTCGTTAAACCCGCCACCACCCGACACAGCTAATCAGCAAGATTTGTCACGTAAGCAGAACATACCAATTCGTTACTAGTACAGCACACCGTTGTGTTGGAGAGAAAAGAAAATTAGCTTAGGCTTTTCAATTGCTAAATAAGAATGTTGATCAATTGAGAACATTGGGATGTATAAGCTTGAGCAGGGGATCCTGAGCATTTCTCTCTGAAATCTGCTACTTTGTTTGGGCTGCAGGGTGCATCACGCGGCATTGGCTCTCAGTGGCAAGCCCACAGAGGGGAGTCTGAAGGGCAAGGCCCTCTATTCTATTGTAGATGTAGCCCTTGGATTACTCGGCAGAAAGGCGCACGGCAACAAGAGGCCCCCTGTGGCTGTGGATGGGTCCCTAAACGACGATGCAGAGCCGGAATAACACACTCGCGGTTATTCTTTTACCATTTTTGCAATTTGTGTTTAGTCTCCAAAAAGCATGTACAGTACACGCATATAGTGGACATCATACTCGCACACCAAATAGACAAATAGTTGTTTCACGAATTTGGCAGAATAGTTTTATCGTGGAAATTCTGGCGGTCAGAATTCTACAAAAGCATCAAAAGAAACTCTAAAAGAATCCAGCCCTGTTTTAGACACACATAATTGGCACGCTTCGAACGGTTCAGAGGTGGCTCGAGGTCTAGTCAATGGCTCCCAAAAGGGACCCCATTAACCTGATTAAGATCACCCATGCCTCTGCATCACATCACCCCAGAGCAAAGCAATCAATCGCAAGTTCATATTCTTTCCCATGTGGTTTTCTAAAGCAAACGCGCTCTACATAACTGCTACCTATTTTTTGGTGTTCTATTCCAGTGCTTGATGAGCCCAATAGCCATATAGTATGTGATCTGCAATTTATGAAAATCAGTATCAGTGCAGATGTAAATTCAAAGCTGGGACAATTTATTTGATTAAGCTGATGAATGAACTAAATTTGTTTTAATGGAGTACTGTACTTTTTTGTGGTCAATTACTTGGGCGCATAAATAATGTGGGTCGCCCTCACATTCTGCCTTCTAAAGGCAGGAAACCCCCTAAAACCATGCCCATCATAATACGGTTGATGATGCAGAGGATGTCGCCAAGCCCCGCCTATTACCTTCCATCCAGCGGTACATGTGGGAAGAAAGATGGAACTTATTTATAACAATTTGCATGGTATGTCATCCATCGAATAACACTATGTAACGCGATTTTTGTCATTGGGTAGTCAGTGTTATTTTTTGTATTGCTTATGCCTAAAAAGTATAGAAAATGGCTATTATTCCCCACAAACTTTCCTTTTGTAACCAGGACTTTAGGTGAAGGAATGACACAAATGCACACCACGTTTTCTCATTGAAAATAGGTAAATTTCAAAATATCACTGTCCTGGTCACAAAAGCAAAGTTTGTGGGGAATACTTTTGAGGCATAAGCAATTAGGAAATAACACTTACTACCCAGGGACAAACCAAAAAAACATTTTGTTACACAGTGTAATCAAACCAATAATTATTCGAGTAACTGATTACTTAACTAATTGTGTATCCGGCTCTAAACAAATCCAAGTGAATGCTAATTCATTAAGCTCCTTGAGTGTAAGTTGTTTGAATGTCCACTTCACCTGACTTTATCATCAGATGTGCTCATGTTCTGAGCTGTGTCAATAGCTGAAAGCAAGTAAGCACAGAGAGCCATGTGGTGGGAAGATGTTCACTCCCTCACCTGGGCTCGTTCCCAACCCTGACACCTGAGTAGTCAACAGTTAACACGTTCTCCCCCTCGGTAGCGTTGCATTTTTCTTCAGGTCCTCTGGTTTTCCCTTCCACATTTTGAAACGTGCATTTAAAGTATTTGGCCGCTTTAAATTTCCACGCGATAAGTCACTTCTTTGAGCTATCATTCGTGACCAGGTTGCTGAAGAAACAGAGCTATATAGCTCAGTGAGCCTGGCATGGTAAAAAAAAGAATGGAATACACCCTGAGAACGAGTCCACCACCGTACATCACGGCCTGCTTCCCTTGGCTCTTCTCCACAAAATAACAACAACCGTCATTCGCCACTAAGTCGCGGTGACATCACCATGGCGCTTGTGCCAGGCTATGTGCACGTTAAGGCCACGTGAAGTGCCAGAAAATAAGCACACATACAGCAATGTGGATATAAAAAAAAACATTCACACAACCGATTATTTCACATTATGGGGTTTACTGTCCCCATTTGGGCCATTGCCAAGTAGTGACAGCCCCAAGTGGCGAGCGGTGTTGTAACCTGGATAGGGCTGTTGCTTTTGACAACGTCCCTCCGTTGTTCCACTACGCACTGGGAATTCGTGTCGAGAGGTTCCACAGTTCAAGTTGTCCTGAAGTCAGTCCCCAGCCACAGGAGGAGGTCCATTTTGTTTATCAGCACTTAAACAAAAAAGTGTGCGTTGCTTTATAGCCGCTCAATTTGTACATTAAATTACGACCCATGTTTTTTCAGCTTACACGCATGGCCAATGTTTAACTTTACAACATGCACGTAAAAATGTTTCTCTTACATTATGAAAGTAACCATCCTGTGCTACAAACCGAAGTTCTATTTCACAGCGATGGATACAATCAGTTCCAAATGATATTACACAACTAGTCTTGCCCTCCTGCCCCTTCGTCAACCTACAAGTCTGGTGAAGAATGGTAAAAATCACAAATGACATTTTACATCTCTTTGTAAATCTACTGCTGAATGAAGGCCTGCCGAATCCATGTGCCATCTTGGTCATTGAGATCCTTTGACCATGCTGAACCACGCTGGAATGTGGGAGTTCGTTAAGTTGAGGCTGGGACCGTTGCAAATATCGCTCGCAACTGACTAGAGCTGTGGCTAGTAACTGAACTCAGTTCAACTGGTTCATCGTCCAGTGTGTTAACTAGCACATGACTAGTCCACCCACACTTTCATGAATACATGAATAACAGCACCCTTTTGTTTTTACAGCCAAGCCTCATTGGTTCGCCAGTCTCTTTTTCAGGAGAGTGCTGCATTGGGATTTTGGTAAATTCCATTAATGAGTGTTGAGCATGCAGGGATGAAATTGAATACCAATAGAAAGCAGCACAGAAGAAAAAAACAATACACCCTTTAACTCAGCTCTGTCTGGAAGCTGTTACCTGTCAAAACCCAAAATAGACAGCGGTATGTGAAGTAAAACATAACGTAAATTACATTACCTTCTATTTTACTGGAACTCTTAAGTGATGTAGTGGAGTGGTGTGTACAACTAAATTACTACACAAATTAAAAAGCAATGACCTGCAATGAAATAATAATGGTCAGTCTTCAAAATAACAAAATCAAATGAATAAACCTGCACTTGTTGTTACAACCCTGTGTTCTCTCTACAGTAGGTGTGTGTGTCCTACAAGTTTAGATTTTCTGCCCTGGGCATTTTATAAAATACTAGATAAACTGAAGTGTATAAAGTGAAAGATCCATGCTTCAGCATTGGGCTAATTGAGGAGAAATCAAGTTAATTCCTGTTATTATGCTATATTTTGCATGCTCACTGCACACCGTTCAGGAATTTGTGTCCGTGGGAACAAAGGCAGTTTCACACATATGCTGTGGAAGAAATAAGGACTGTGGCTGTGTTTACTTTTAATTTTCTGTAAGAAGAATAGTTGTATTTAACAGAAGTGTGATGAACTTTGATTTGAAGCTTTCGTGACTGCAGGCAATCATATTCTTGGTTCTTTCGGTAAAATCACCACGTAGAAGGGAAACAACCAAGATTAAGAAGTGTGATGGTTCAATGGCATGCCTGAAATTAATCATCTAGTGTTTGATTATGAAAGACAACAGTTCTATCTTTGCAAGAATCTTCCCATGTGTCCAGGTAATTAATTACCAGAGACAGTGGCTCTTGTATCCGAATTCCCAAGGTGGAATGCTTCAATGATGTGCCAAACGGAATAATTAGGTACGATACTAGTATCTTTTTTACCCTAGGCATAAATAATAACGCTATCTTACTTCCAAGCCCTGACAGATGAACATTTTGCCCTTAGCGATTTCCGGGACATTGTTTGGCGAAGGAGACACGAGACACAGGAAGAGGGCCTGCTTCCTGGACCACGCTCCGCAACACTCGATAACAATTGCTGCCACGTGCCTCTTCAGCCAAAGAGGATTTATAATGGACCCGTGGACTTTAATGAAAAACAAGCGAATTAAAATAAATGCATTTCAAAGTGTT